GTGAGATTGAGAGGTTCTATGGGCAGCTGTACACATCATCGTTGAAGCCACACGCAAGTGTGAGTAACGATCCAAGAGCGAGTCTCATCCGACACTATTCCGAAGATATCCCGGATGTCAGTCTGAGCGAGATTAGGATGGCTCTCCACCACCTTAAAAACGGTAAGGCCCCAGGCGAGGATGGAATTACAGCGGAGCTTCTGAAAGCGGGTGGAAGACCGGTACTTGAAGTCCTTCAGAAGCTCTTTAATTCTGTCCTCCATGGTGGCATTACACCGGAGGCGTGGAGCAGAAGTGCGGTGGTCTTGTTCTTCAAGAAAGGTGACAACGCTCTCTTGAAGAACTACAGACCGATTTCCCTTCTGAGCCGCGTCTACGTGCTGTTTTCGAGAGTCATTACGAATCGTCTCGCGCGCAGACTTGACGACTTCCAGCCTCCCGAACAAGCCGGTTTCCGAAAGGGCTTTAGCACCATAGACCACATACATACCCTTCGGCAAGTTATACAGAAGTCCGAAGAGTACAATTTGCCACTATGTCTGGCGTATGTGGACTATGAGAAAGCCTTTGATTCCGTCGAAATTTGGGCGGTGCTGCAGTCCCTTCAGCGGTGCCAAGTTGACTGTCGGTATATCGAAGTGTTGAAGTGCTTGTACAGTAGGGCTACGATGGCTATCCGAGTACAGAACCAGAATACGAAACCTATCCAATTGCAGAGAGGTGTAAGACAGGGTGACGTCATATCCCCGAAACTCTTCACCGCTGCATTGGAAGACGTTTTCAAGCTTCTGGACTGGAAAGGATACGGTATCAACATCAATGGCGAGTACATCACTCACCTTCGATTTGCCGACGATATAGTCCTTATGGCAGAATCGCTGGAGGACCTAAGCACTATGCTCAATGACCTCAATAGTGTTTCCCAACGGATAGGTCTTAAGATGAACATGGACAAAACAAAGATCATGTTTAATGTCCATGTCACACCTATGCCGGTAGTTGTTGGGAGCACTAAGCTCGAAGTTGTTGACGAGTATGTTTACCTGGGACAAATAGTCCGACTAGGTAAGTCCAACTTCGACCGAGAGGTCAATCGACGGATTCAACTCGGCTGGGCAGCGTTCGGGAAGCTACGACACATCTTCTCGTCAGACATACCTCAAAACCTTAAAACGAAATTGTACAACCAGTGCGTGTTGCCAGTGATGACTTACGGAACTGAGACGTGGTCCTTCACTGCTGGCCGTATGAGGAAGCTCAAGGTCGCTCAGCGAGCTATGGAGAGGGCTATGCTCGGAGTTTCTCTGCGTGATAAACTTAGGAATGAGGATATCCGCAGTAGAACCAGAGTGACCGACATAGCCCAACGGATTAGTAAGCTGAAGTGGCAGTGGGCCGGCCATATAGCTCGAAGAACCGACAACCGATGGGGAAGAAAGGTTCTCGAGTGGCAGCCTCGTACCGGTAGGCGAAGTGTAGGGCGTCCCCCCACGAGATGGAGTGACGACCTGGTAAGACATGCAGGAAGTCGATGGATGCAGGTGGCTCAGGACCGTGCTTTGTGGCATTCTTTGGGGGAGGCCTATGTTCAGCAGTGGACTTGTGAAGGGCTGTAATGATGATGATGATGAATGAAAGTTACGAAGAGACGGCCCCCAGTCCCCGGCGGCCCCGCTATTCCTGGCTCCGGTGGCGACCATGGTAACGGCGGGGCAGGGGGTGCTAAGAATCTCCGGTGGAGGTTCGGTTGCCACCTACAACGACTCGACCTGGCAACATACAACGCACGCACCCTGAGGACTGACGAGAAGATTGGGGAGCTGGAAGAAGAGATAGACAAGTTACGCTGGCATATTATAGGATTATCCGAAGTCCGAAGAGAGGGGGAGGACACGGTAATCCTCGAATCCGGCAACTTGCTCTATTACCGGGAGGGCGACCATCAGTCCCAAGGAGGTGTCGGATTTATCGTCCACAAGTCTCTCGTTAACAACGTTGTAAAGATTGAGAGTATGTCGACGAGGGTTGCGTACCTTATACTCAGAATCACCAAACGGTATTCGCTGAAGGTCATACAGGTTTACGCACCAACCTCGGCACACCCCGATCAGGAGGTGGAGGAAATGTATGAGGATATCTCTAGAGCCATGCATTCCTCCAAAACCCAATATACGGTGTTAATGGGAGACTTCCAATGCAAAACTAGGCACAAGAGAGAACGGTGAGCTGAAAGTGGGGAAATTTGGAATAGGGCAACGGAACCCAAGGGGCCAGCAGTTGGCCGACTTCATGGAGAAAGAGGGACTCTTTATGATGAACTCTTTCTTCCAGAAGCGGCCCCACAGGAAGTGGACCTGGTTGAGCCCCGACGGTTCGACAAAAAATGAGATTGACTTCATTATGACGACCAGACGACAACTGTTCAGTGATATCTCAGTGATCGCGAGGGTGAAAACCGGCAGCGATCACCGAATGGTTAGAGGCACACTGAACCTAAACGTTAAGTTGGAGAGGTCTCGTCTAATGAAGTCAACGCTCCGTCCCCCTCGTGCTCTAATCCAAAGTCCCGAAACCTTTCAGCTCGAGTTGCAAAACCGTTTTCAGTGCCTAGAAGACTGCAATGAAGTGGACGATTTGAATGACAAGCTCGTGGAAACTGTCCATGCGGTCGGAGCTAAGTTCTGCAAGACCCGCCGCAGAAGAACACAAAAACTCTCCGATCACACTCTTAATCTCATGGCTGTTAGACGGGAGATGAAGCTACATTCTTCAACAGATTTGACAGCATACAGGCAACTGAACAGACAGATCTCCAAATGCATGCGGCGGGACTTACGCAACTTTAATACAGACGAGCTGTATTAAAGTTGCGTAAGTCCCGCCGCAGAAGAACACAAAAACTCTCCGATCACACTCTTAATCTCATGGCTGTTAGACGGGAGATGAAGCTACATTCTTCAACAGATTTAACAGCATACAGGCAACTGAACAGACAGATCTCCAAATGCATGCGGCGGGACCTACGCAAATTCAATACAGCTCGTATTGAAGAAGCGATCGAGCGGAACCAAGGCTCCAAAGTCTTTGCCAGAGATCTGTCTGCCAGAAAGAGCCAACTGTCAAAGCTGAAGACCGAATGTGGCAGCATCGTTTCCGGGGCACCTGAGATTTTGAGTGAGATTGAGAGGTTCTATGGGCAGCTGTACACGTCATCGTTGGAGCCACACGCAAGTGTGAGTAACGATCCAAGAGCGAGTCTTATCCGACATTATTCCGATGATATCCCGGACGTCAGTCTGAGCGAGATTAGAATGGCTCTCCAGCACCTTAAAAACGGCAAGGCCCCAGGCCAGGATGGAATAACAGCGGAGCTTCTGAAAGCGGGTGGAAAACCGGTACTTGAAGTCCTTCAGAAGCTCTTTAATTCCGTCCTCCATGGTGGCATTACACCGGAGGCGTGGAGCAGAAGTGCGGTGGTCTTGTTCTTCAAGAAAGGCGACAACGCTCTCTTGAAGAACTACAGACCGATTTCCCTTCTGAGCCGCGTCTACGTGCTGTTTTCGAGAGTCATTACGAATCGTCTCGCGCGCAGACTTGACGACTTCCAGCCTCCCGAACAAGCCGGTTTCCGAAAAGGCTTTAGCACCATAGACCACATACATACCCTTCGGCAAATTGTACAGAAGTCCGAGGAGTACAATTTGCCACTATGTCTGGCGTATGTGGACTATGAGAAAGCCTTTGATTCCGTCGAAATTTGGGCGGTGCTGCAGTCCCTTCAGCGATGCCAAGTTGACTGTCGGTATATCGAAGTGTTGAAGTGCTTGTACAGTAGGGCTACGATGGCTATCCGAGTACAGAACCAGAGTACGAAACCTATCCAATTGCAGAGAGGTGTAAGACAGGGTGACGTCATATCCCCGAAACTCTTCACCGCTGCGTTGGAAGACGTTTTCAAGCTTCTGGACTGGAAAGGATACGGTATCTACATCAATGGCGAGTACATCACTCACCTTCGATTTGCCGACGATATAGTCCTTATGGCAGAATCGCTGGAGGACCTAAGCACTATGCTCAATGACCTCAATAGTGTTTCCCAACGGATAGGTCTTAAGATGAACATGGACAAAACAAAGATCATGTTTAATGTCCATGTCACACCTATGCCGGTAGTTGTTGGGAACACTAAGCTCGAAGTTGTTGACGAGTATGTTTACCTGGGACAAATAGTCCGACTAGGTAAGTCCAACTTCGACCGAGAGGTCAATCGACGGATTCAACTCGGTTGGGCAGCGTTCGGGAAATTTCGGCACATCTTCTCGTCAGGTATACCTCAAAACTTGAAAACGAGACTGTACACCCAGTGCGTGTTGCCAGTGATGACATACGGAAAATGTATGTATTGTTTAAAAATTATGTATGATATGTATCAGGTATAAAGTATATTATTTAGGTTATTTGTAGTTATATACATTATTGTATTTATATTTATGGTATGTATGTTTTTATATTCACATTAAGTATAGATATTCTCAAGTTTTATGGCACCTGCTTAAGTTTCTCTGCTTAGCTCGTGGTTGACTGGTAGAGAATGCCCACAAAGAGAATGCCTAAAGGCATTAAGTCCGCCAATTGTACATTTTAAGTGCAATAAAGATTTTTAAATTAAAAAATTAAATTAAAAATTATGTAGTTTAATTAAATTGCATTTAATCTCTTATGACTAAAACACGTACGTTCTGTTTAACAAATATAATATTTGCATCAAGAGATTATCTGTGACAAACTGACAAAGTAAAGTCTAAACGGAACGTCACTTTGCTTTCCATTATGGCAGTTGAATAATGTTTTGGTTCTTGTTTTTAATAAAATCTCATAAAAATACAGTACTGTGTAATAGTGTGATGTATTCAGAATTAATTGAAATAAATTGGTGAAGTGCTTTTTCATATTTAGTATTAGTATGTCAGATGGTAAAGGGAGGACGTGAGTGCTATAAAATGCCGTGTGAGAGCTGCGCCGTTCAGTTTAGTGTATTTAGACGAAAACGGGCTTGTTCGGAATGCGAACGGTACTATTGTGGAGGGTGTCTTCGTCGCGGTGGAGGTACCATGTGTGCACCCTGCAGAGTTCTCTCCACTCGACCTCTATCTCGCCATACAATAACTCACTTGAAAGTCCGCGACTTGCAGTGTTTCTTACAACGCCAGAATGTCTCTACTCGTGGTTGCGTCGGTACGTAAACACTAAACATTTTAATCATATAAATTTCTAGAATGGTCCTTGAAAATGTTTACTATCAGAATTAACACACTAACCTTCCAATTTCATTGTCAAATGTAACTTGTTTATTTTTTTAACTTTGCTTCTATAGTGTTCTAATTATACCTAGGAATTCATGTTTGCTTTAGAAGTTGTTTTTTTTGCCATCTAAATCGAAAAGTATATGTATTTAAAGGATTATATTCACTTTAACCAAAAGTACTAAGTTATGTAGGTACAGCAAAGTAGTTTTTGAATATTTAAAATCATTGATCTGTAGTCAAACACTGATTTATAGAAGCTAAAAAAATTACTTTTAAACAGCCTTACAAACCAAGAGACATTTTATTCTTGTCCTCTAGGGGAAGGCAATGCATGTAACAAATTAACTTACAGATTAGCTAATACCTAGTAAAGATGCCTGCAGGTGTATAGGCTACTTCAGCAGCTTCCCTTAAGATGGATATATTGCAGATTTGTTGTTGTTCAGCTTGTTTGTCACTAAGGTAAAAGTATGTAATCTAGTATGTACAACAGGAGATCCCACTTCTGATCTCAGAACACATTAGGAAAGGATAATTGTTAAAAATAGTAAATGTTTAGTAAAAGATGTTCAACTTGCTCTCTTACTTATGCAATTAATCATTATCACAAAAAAACAGCGTACTGCACTATACATTCAGTATAGGCAAATAGAGTTCAACCATACTGTAATATGTCCCTGTCACAATTACACAGTAGTGTAACGTGAGGGATGTAATTACACAATAATACCAAAGTATGCAAACCAACAGCAACACCATTCTCCCCACCTGCACCAGAAGAATCACCACAACGGACAGAACCATGACACTGTCTCAGCACTAGCAGAAAGACTTAGGTGGAATCTCACACGCACAATGCTTACAGTGTACTTTATACTGCCCTAAATTCCACCTTGCCATGATCGATATAACGCTCCACTAGTGTGATGCAACCTCATGCTCTCTCTCAATCCAAATGGATATTTTATAGATGCAGCCTACTAGTAAATTTGCAGTCTTTATATGACCCACAGCTGAGCCCAGCCCTCAGCTGCTATAGTGCATGTTGGCAGACTTTATATGTCTTCCAGCTGATTTCTTAACAATGTTTTCCTACACCACCGAGTGTATCACCATTTTTAAAATGTTATTTAATATATTTTTTATATTTATTTAAATCAGCATTTAAAATTGCAACAAAATTTTTTATTGGTGCTGGCAGGCATCAAATTCAAGTTGTTTACATAGTTGTGAAATTTACTGTTAGGCCTTAGCCCCTGAGCTACTACAGCTGTCACTCATTCTTTCACTAGATAAATGTTTAAAAAATGTAAAAACCGACTTTAAATAATGTAATCATCAATAATTGGTTAACAAAGTATAGAATTATCTGCCCATATGTTGTGCATGTCTTTGCAAATTGAAGATCTATAGGTATTTTACTTTGGCTTTACTCCAAAAGGTAAGGTGGATTCCTTGGCAAAAATGGAGATATAAATAACCAATAATATCTTACTTATTTCTGCCGCCTAATCTGTAAGTTAATTTGGTTTGTAAGGCTGTTTAAAAGTGTTTTTTTTAGCTCCTGTAAATCAGTGCTTGACTACAGCCTCATGATTTTAAATATTCAACAACTACTTTGCTGTACCGACATAACTTAGTACTTTTGATTAAAGTGAAAGTGAGTGCAGACCAAATTTTTATAGGTCCACCAGACCCTTTTCTAATAAAAAAAAAATCAATGTAGTACAATGTAGTTCGGTGATTTTTATAATGTATGATCTATCGCTGAACCTACCGAACTTAGAACCTACTCCTATTTATGAAACTGGTTAAAAATAGACAAAATTCATTGTGTTTCAAGAACTTGTGCACAATTAAATAATTCTATGAAAAGCTCAACACAGGTCTTCCCATATTTTTTTGCCTCATAAGGGGAGTTTTGCCATAGTTGTCTTGGCCAGCAGGTTGGCAACCGCAGTTTCCCTCTGTCTTCTCTGTAATGTTATCAAAATAATATAAGCTAGAAAATGGTCCCACAGGTACTAAAAACCACATTATTACACCTCTTATGACACCCACTGGATGATATGAGGTAGTAGATATCATATGCTGCTGCCTATCTTCTGTTTCAGTTTTTTGTCACCTTTTACAACCTCACTGGATTATATGAGGTGGTACTGCCATTGTCCACGGCAATTATATCAGAAATGCTGATTGATAGGTGGACTATTTTTATTTATTTAATCTGTCAATTACTGGACCTATACATGAGATAATTCAAGGTCACCTTTGTAGAACCCTCCAAAGAGTGTGGTAATATTTAGAAGGGACCCCTCAGAACCAAAGAATATACAATCATTATGTTTAGTTAGAACCATAGTTAAGAAGTGCAGAACAATTATTTTTTAAATGTATAAATAAGAATTATACAACTAAAATTTCATTACAATTAGTTTCATTACCAAATTAAGCTTCTCTAAATTAAGAGAATTTACTTCAAATGACGACTTTCCACCTTTACATGTCGCATTTACTTCATAATATAATTTAGTCTATTTCCTTCGCCACGTGAATGTAAGAGGCAACTACAAATTAAAAAAAAAATAAGTGGGTACAAGAGAAATTTTGTTGTTAGTTTTTTATATAAGAGCTAATTTGCTTAGTAACAATTTTATACACTATACAATTTTCGTTTCAAATACCGTGTCGTTGACGTTTCACTTTATATTTAATAGTCAGAAGTAACTGAAAATTAAATATAAAGTGTGAGTTATCACTATAAATTATGTAAAAACCACAAATTTTCATATTCCACTAAGTCCAATGTATGAGAATTACGTTTTATGTTATAATTTCAATATATAGTGAACATTATGGCGAAGTTGTTGTCAACAAAAAATGACATTGGTCAAAGTTTGCGTAATAAAGTATATGCCTATGATTGAATATTTTTAATTTTTAGAGGTTCCTACTGAGTATATCAATGTAATTATATTATATATTTCTTTTCTTTATGAAAAACGTGTGTTTCTATGTTCTTGTTTCTTTCTTCATAGTAGTTATTTGATTTTAACATATAGATATTGAATTTTAACATATGAGGATTCGTTACATTTGCCTTAGTTTTAGAAGTGACATATAATATTTGAACTTTTTTCTTTTCAGTAAACTTGCTTTTATTACGGTTTTGTTATTTATTACTGTTTTAACCCTTGAACTTGTTTACGCAACTTTTGTTTGATAAATTGTTTGATGTTGATGTTTGATGCTTTTTTTTACATACAAAAACATTTTTTCGAATAATAAAACTACCCCATCCCCTCTCCATACAGTGTCCTTCCACTGCTGGCTATGGGCCATGGATAGAGAGGAGCACAAAATTTTACTGCCACAAATATCTACCTCTGCAACGCTGCCCTAAACATCGTATGTCATCTGCATTCCACCAAGATTAAATTTAGAAAAAAATGTTCGTCTTTTTTTCCTCTCACATTTTTTCTTATCACTATTACAACAAACACCGTTACAGCCTATAAAACCCCCGCTGAACATAGACCTCCACTATATATTGCCTCATAGAGGGTATATTTGTCATAGTTGCCACGCTTGGCAAGCTGGTTGGTAACCGCAGTTTTGTTTTAGACAGTTAGTTAGTTAGTTATTAGTAAGATACTGCTGCCCATCTCCTAATTTATTTTCCTCTGTCGCCTCTAGACATGAGTGATAAATAACATCACGGTGAAAAAGTTCCAAAATAATATTGTTCCTTAGTGCCGCCACCTTACTATTTTCTCCATTATTCCTATCACTGATTTAACCAAACAAAATGAACTACGCACCTTGTTACTGTGTAACAAGGTACGTGTATCTTGGAACAGTGGACCAGCCGCCTCTTACGAAACCCACGGAGTGATATGAAAATTCATACACCGCCACTACTCCGTAATTGATAAAATCGTCTTGAAATCGTCGTTACTCTAGCGATCACTTGACCTTCATACAAATAATCAGATATTTTCATTGTTGATAATTTTTTTATTTTTGGTTAAGAACATAGTAATGGCTCTTAAGTTGTGGCGGCGCTGTCGTCGCGTCACAAGCGAAAGCACATCGAAGCCTAAATCGCGCTATCAACGTTTCGAAGTTAAAGTAGTATATATAGAATAGCTCCGAGCCACCACTCGGAGCGTTGGCCGCTCCCCAGGCAGAACACCTTGCCCGGAGGGAGATCTCCCCTTTTCCTTCCACCTGCCACAAAGTTATATTTACAATAATTTAAAAAAAATTGTCTTTGGCCTAACCTACTATACTCTTTTGCTTGACTAAGTTTATCAAATAATATACTGAGCAGGATATAATAATTTAACAACTTCCTTGTTTGCAAAAAGAACACAATAGTTACAATTGAAATGGTTACATATCTTTATTTACAGAAAAAGAAGAACTCGTGAGCTTGTGCGTGGCACATGTAAACAGCACAGCTTACAAACGCCGCGGGCCGCGAACCGGCGCATTCAGCTCATTAAAGGGCTTCACCAACAACATCAATGACTTCCTGAACTCTGCATTCGACATACGCGCACCCCAGAACGACGCGCCGCCCTCACGCAGTGAGATACTGCTCCTCTTGAGTTTGTTTATTACCTCTTAGCTTCTACGCGCATGTTATTGCTGTAGTTACTGGCTACATATTTATCATTCATCATTACAGCCTTTCATAAGTCCACTGCTGAACATAGGCCTCCCCCAAGGAATGCCACAAAGCACGGTCCTGAGCCACCTGCATCCATCGACTTCCTGCATGTCTTACCAGGTCGTCACTCCATCTCGTGGGGGGTCGCCCTACACTTCGCCTACCGATACGAGGCTGCCACTTGAGAACATTTCTTCCCCATCGGTTGTCGGTTCTTCGAGCTATATGGCCGGCCCACTGCCACTTCAGCTTACTAATCCGTTGGGCTATGTCGGTCACTCTGGTTCTACTGCGGCTATCCTCATTTCTAAGTTTATCACGCAGAGAAACTCCGAACATTGCCCTCTCCATAGCTCGCCATTGAGCATGGTGCTTAGATCCTCGAGCGATTCTGCCATAAGGACTATATCGTCGGCAAATCGAAGGTGAGTGATGTACTCGCCATTGATGTTAATACCGTATCCTTTCCAGTCCAGAAGCTTGAAAACGTCTTCCAATGTAGCGGTAAGAGTTTCGGGGATATAACGTCACCGTGTCTTACACCTCTCTGCAATTGGATAGGTTTCGTACTCTGGTTCTGTACTCGGATAGCCATCGTAGCCCTACTGTACAAGCACTTCAGCACTTCGATATACCGACAGTCACTGCTGAAGGGACTGCAGCACCGCCCAAATTTCGACGGAATCAAAGGCTTTCTCATAGTCCACATACGTCAGGCATAGTGGCAAATTGTACTCCTCGGACTTCTGTACAACTTGCCGAAGGGTATGTATGTGGTCTATGGTGTTAAAGCCCTTTCGGAAACTGGCTTGTTCGGGAGGCTGGAAGTCGTCAAGTCTGCGCGCAAGACGATTCGTAATGACTCTCGAAAACAGCACGTAGACGCGGCTCAGAAGGGAAATCGGTCTGTAGTTCTTCAAGAGAGCGTTGTCACCTTTCTTGAAGAACAAGACCACCGCACTACTGCTCCACGCCTCCGGTGTAATGCCACCATGGAGGACGGAATTAAAGAGCCTCTAAAGGACTTCAAGTACCGGTTTTCCACCTGCTTTTAGAAGCTCCGCTGTAATTCCATCCTCGCCTGGGGCCTTACCTTTTTTAAGATACTGGAGAGCCATTCTAATCTCGCTTGCGTGTGGCTCCAACGATGACGTGTACAGCTGCCCATAGAACCTCTCAATCTCACTCAAAATCTCAGGTGCCCCGGAAACGATGCTGCCACACTCGGTCCTCAGCTTTGACAGTTGGCTCTTTCTGGCAGACAGATCTCTGGCAAAGACTTTGGAGCTTTGGTTCTGCTCGATCGCTTCTTCAATACAAGCTGTATTGAAATTGCGTAAGTCCCGCCGCATGCATTTGGAGATTTGTCTGTTCAGTTGCCTGTATGCTGTCAAATCTGTTGAAGAATGTAGCTTCATCTCCCGTCTAACAGCCATAAGATTAAGAGTGTGATCGGAGAGTTTTTGTGTTCTTCTGCGGCGGGTCTTGCAGAACTCAGCTCCAACCGCATGGACAGTTTCCACGAGCTTGTCATTCATATCGTCCACTTCATTGCAGTTTTCTAGGCACTGAAAATGGTTTTGTAACTCGAGCTGAAAGGTTTCATTACTTTGGAACAGAGCACGAGGGGGACGGAGCGTTGACTTCATTAGACGAGACCTCTCCAACTTAACGTTTAGGTTCAGTGTGCCTCTAACCATTCGGTGATCGCTACCAGTTTTCACCCTCGCGATCACGGACACATCACTGAACAGTTGTCGTCTGGTCGTCATAATGAAGCATTTTTTGTCGAACCGTCGTCGGGGCTCGACCAGGTCCACTTCCTGTGAAAAGAGTTCATCATAAAGAGTCCCTCTTTCTCCATGAAGTCGGCCAGCTGCTGGCCCCTTGGGTTCCGTTGCCCTATTCCATATTTCCCTACTTTTAGCTCACCGTTCTCTCTTGTGCCTAGTTTTGCATTGAAGTCTACCATTAACACCGTATATACGGTTTTGGAGGAATGCATGGCTCTAGAGATATCCTCATACATTTCTTCCACCTCCTCATCGGGGTGTGCCGAGGTTGGTGCGTAAATCTGTATGACCTTCAGCGAATACCGTTTGGTTATTCTGAGTATAAGGTACGCAACCCTCGTCGACAAACTCGATCTTTACAACGTTGTTAACGAGAGACTTGTGGACGATAAATCCGACACCTCCTTGGGACAGATGGTCGCCCTCCTGGTGATAGAGCAAGTTGCCGGATTCGAGGATTATCGTGTCCTCCCCCTCTCTTCGGACTTCGGATAATCCTATAATATGCCAGCGTATCTTGTCTATCTCTTCTTCCAGCTCCACGATCTTCTCGTCAGTCCTCAGGGTACGTGCGTTGTACGTTGCCAGGTCGAGTCGTTTAAGGTGGCAACAGAACCTCCACCGGAGATTCTTAGCACCCCCTGCCCCGCCGTTACCATGGTCGCTACCGTAGCCAGGAATAGCGGGGCCGCCGGGGACTGGGGGCCGTCTCTTTGTTACTCTCTTCATAGGGGGGTATTTGCCATAGTTGCCACGCTTGGCGAGCGGGTTGTCAACCGCAGTTTTTTTTACTACATTCTTAAATACTCACAAATAGATTATTCATGGTCCAGCACTTCTGGCCATATTAGGATGCTTACAAGTTACTCAGTGAGCCGTAAAGAGGACTGAGATCACAGTTTCTCTGTGTAATAGTATCCGTTACAATATTCACAGTAGCACAAGAGTAACCAAAATAACAGGGTTATAGCGATAGCTCGAAAAACCGACAGCTAATGGGGGAGAAAGGTTCTCAAAAGGCAGCATTGTGCCAGTAAGCATAGTGTTTGTTAGCATTCCTTAAGAAAACCTATGTTCAGTACTGAACTTTAAAAGGGCTGGAAAGATGATGATGAAATATATGAAAACTTTTAAGGTAATCTTGCAGATATTTGCAGCTAAAGCAATCTGAAATGGTCTGATTATACATTGTAAGTGTATTGTGTCTCATCCATTGAATTCTATGTACTACGTACTAGAGAAGCCTTTCTAAACAAAAAAGGTGTACTACTCTATGTCTTCGCGCATGCGCGGGAGTTAGTAAAGTCGCGCATGCGCAGTTGATTTAAGTGCGTTGCGCCTGCGCGCTGAGTTTATATAAAGAAATATATTTTTTATGATTTTTTTCTTTTGTAATATTACGATATTATTACCTATTTATTCACTTGAACAACAAATAATTTTAATTACTTGACTACTGAATTGTTATTTACGTCCAGGCTTAAACTTTAATTTAAAATCTTTTATTATTAGCGCCGCTCCACACTGCATGAATATTGGAACCACAGACTAGCTAGTATATTGAAGCCACACTAAATGACACACTGTATGGATTGCAGTACAGTTCAGTTGATTATAGTGTATGTTCGGAATGCGCAATCTAGTACGTAGTACATATATATCGATGGTCCCATCCCAATTTGCCATTTGTTGTAAACAATAGTTCTTTGGCCAAATAAGTTGTCTGGAAGAAAATGTTACAGAGCAATAAGACCTATTGTAGGTAACAATTTCCTTCTACTATTACCTTCTATATAATTTTTATTTATTTATTTATGTACACAAAATAAGATACAGAAACATTCTTATAGCGAGTTGTTGTGCAAAGGTTCTACTTAGTCCATAATTTGCTGAAATATCTTCCAGTAGATCCACAAAGGAAAATATATTAAATATCAAACTTAGTGCATACATTATGTACTACTACTAAATTTATTCAATTTTATTAAATAATACTAACATTTATTTCATTTTGTTTTCGTTTTAATGTGTATTAGTGCACTACAAAGAATATAATGATTATTGAGTGATTAAAATACATGCTTATGTATGAAAAATCAAAATAACAAACTTAGAATTCTTCCCTACTTATTTATTTTGTGTCTTATGAAGATGAATTGTACTATTTACATTTGAAAAGCTGGGAAAATTATTATAAGGAATAACAAAATATTATTACTATATTCATACACATGTATATTTCTTTTTTGTATAGAGTATTTTGGTGGATTCTATCCTATTATGGAGGCTTTATTATATAAAGCCTGCGATATTGTTTACATACATGTTTCTTAACAGTACAAACATTGAGTTCTTCAAGATGATCAAATGTCAAACATTAGATCTTCACATGCTTGTACATTATTGGTAGAAGCTAAGAAAATGTTGATGTTACACATACTTTTATGTACTTTTTGTATTGTACAAGGGATAAAAGTTTTCTTTCGGCCTTCTACTTCATTTCAACTTCAGACAAGTCTTTTAAATTACTTAAGAGGTTCTACAAACCATTTTTGTCAATTAAATTAACATAGATAAAAGTATCTAGGTGAGGGGTCAGCTCCAAGTGGTACTGAAAATCAATATATTATTATTTAGTATACTATTTATTTATTATTGCTTTTTGTGTTAGTTTTATCTCAAAAAATAGTTTGTTTAGTCATCAACTAAATTTTGTTTACAGACAGCTGCTTCAATTCCTCACATGTTCACACACCACCAAGTGGGCCTGGCCCTGGGGTCGTTGATAGTGACCGACGCTTCACACCCACACCAGGTAGGTACCTTTACCACTTGTTTTTTTTAAAATTTAATTTTATCTTATTATAATTAATTGTTGGCCGTCAATTAATGTAAAATATATTTGATGGCTACTGCTTCTTGTCACAGTTGAGTAGTAGTCAACCAATTATCCTCATATCTTTTACTCTTATCTAATTGTTTTCATTATTCTAATAGTGAAGGGTCTTATCTAAACTCATTAACATGACAACTACTCACAATGTGTATTTAGTACTGATATTATTCAATTTGTATTCAGTAATTTTAACAAGTCATTTGTTTTATGACATTAGACAGACAAATTAATTGATACTAATTGTAGATACTGCAGATGACATATTACATAACACTATAATAATATCTCCTTTCTATAATAATAATAATAATAATGTCCTCCAGACCAAATTTCGGTCATGGTGGTCAGTCTCAATGATGATTTCAAGAGTCATCTGCACAGGACAGGATTATAGTGCACGAGTGTGTGCGCAAGCATAGGTGCACTCTCACTCTCACAGTCCACTGTTATGGCAATCCGACACGTCCGGAGAGAAATCAGATGTAGGACCAATGGCTTTACGTGCTTCGAGTTATGAGGCACGGGGTTGAAACACAGCCAACTTCCTGACTTCATGCTGCTTACTGCTAATTTCTTGACAGGAAAACCTAATGACTGATTTTTAGCCAGATTCAGGATTCAAACTCGGGACCTGAAGAACAGCCGTCAAGTCTTGTGCTGTCTCTATCACCTTAAGTCAAAGTGACTGACACCACAAGACTTAACGACGTGTTAAAATTGAGTAGCATTTGAGTATTTGGCCAAAAGAAATTCACAAAAGGTATAAAACAAATTTGCTTATCTGTGTGTGTACGTATTCACGTAATTCTTTGAAACTACTTGATTTGATGTATTCGAATGCAGTTTTCATCTTCATTTAACATTTATTTAATTTTCTATTTCTATATCAAATTTCACTTGACCCAGTGGTAAATTGAACAAAAGAGTGATTTCAATAAGTATTATTTTTTTAAATGTATATTGAATTAAAAAAAATCTGTTTCTGATTCTATCTTGCTAGAGGGTAATCCATTACCTCATTTCAACCCGTGCGTGTCGCTACTATGGGATATGCTAAAAAGGTCTAATGGCTTCTGATTGCGATTCCGAGACACCCAAGGGACGAAATGTGGTGATGAATTCTCTTACATACTTACAACACAGCAAACTCAAATCGCCAATTTCCATATTTTATAAAAATGACGGTGACAAGCGGGCACCTAGTCCACCTGATGACAAGTTGATGCTATAGCCCATAGCCACATACATCTAAACTTGATTAAAAATTAAAATACAGATATGTTGACATTGAGGATTAAGATGAAGTCTTGTTACCAGTAAAGGATCGCAGATCGCAGACTCTTTTCACTTACCATACGTAATATAGTAGCCTTATACTGCTATTTTCCGCTAGTATTCTGTGCTGGATTTTCCACGGTCGAGTGAACTCATTCGCGCTGTAGCGTGGCTCTACCACGTACATAATCATCTCCATCTAAGGACATATCTGAAGCTGGTGGTGCTATTTTCCGCTGATGTTCTGTGCGAGCGTGTACCTTCCACGGTTAAGCGAACCCATTCGTGCTGTAGAGTGGCTCCACCACGTACAAAGTCATCTCCATCTAAACACATCCTTAATGCTGGTGGTGATGATGTTGCTGATGCTGATATCTATGTGTACAGGCGGAGAGCGCGACGTCCGACCGCCGGTCCCGGAACCGGCGGTGTCTCGCAGCAGCTCGTCGGAGAGCGCGAGAGTGGACACAGCCGACTGCTTCGAGGTCGAGGACCTGGATGATGCCGGCTGGGAGTTTGTCACCACACCAGCCGAACCATTGCCCAACGGTAACTATTTTATACTTGATTCATTTTTGATATCATCTTTTGACAATATGTAAGGTACTAATCCTGGGTTCGAAAACTTGAAAAATATCAAAGGCTTTTGATGATATTCCGGACGTCAGTCTGAGCGAGATTAGAATGGCTCTCCAGAACCTTAAAAATCAGCGGTGCCAAGTTGACGTCGGTATACGAAGTTCTGAAGTGTTTGTACAGTAGGGCTACGATGGCTATCCAAGTACAGAACCAGAGTACGAAACCTATCCAACTATAAAGAGGTGTAAGACAGGGTGACGTTATATCCCCGAAACTCTTCCCCGCTGCATTGGAAGACGTTTTCAAGCTTCTGGACTGGAATGGATACGGTATTAACACCAATGGCAAGTACATCACTCACCTTCGACTTGTCGACGATATAGTCCTTATGGCAGAATCGCTGCAGGACCTAAGCACTATGCTCAATGACCTCAATAGTGCCTACCAAGGGCCTTAAGATGAACATGGACAAAATAAAGATCATGTATAACGTCCATGTCACACCTAGGCCTGTAGTTGTTGGGAGCACTAAGCTCGCAGTTGTTAACGAGTATCTATACCTGTGACAAATAGTCCGACTAGGTAAGTCCAACTTCGACCGAGAGGTCAATCGACGGATTCAACTCGGCTGGGCAGCGTTTGGGAAATTACGACTCATCTTCTCGTCAGGTATACCTCAAGACCTGAAAACGAAATTGTAAAACCAGTGCGTGTTGCCAGTGATGACCTATGGAACTGAGACATGGTCCTTCACCGCTGGCCGGATGTGGAAGCTCAAGGTCGCTCAGCGAACTATGGAGAGGGCTATGCTCGTAGCTTCTCTGCGTGATAAACTTAGAAATGAGGGTATCCACAGTAGAACCATAGTGACCGACGTAGCCCAACGGATTAGTAAGCTGAAGTGGCAATAGGCCGGCCATATAGCTTGAAGAACCGACAACCGATGGGGAAAAAAGGTTCTCAAGTGGCGGCCTCGTACCGGCGGACGTAGTGTAGGGTGTTTCCCCACTAGATGGAGTGACGACATGGTAAGACATGCAGGAAGTCGATGGATGCAGATGGCTCAGGACCGTGCTTTGTTGCATTAGTTGGGGGAGGCCTATGTTTAGCAGTGGACTTGTGAAGGGCTGTAATGATGATGATGACGTCGAAGACATGTTTAACCATGGGTAAATAAGATCATAATCATAAGATAAAAATCGAGCATTCTTTACTCAGAGCCTTATGCACCTAGCTAGGAATGCGTTAGGCATGTTAGGTTAGGTTTAAGGAGTTTATTATCTTAAAAAAAGAACAAAAATTCACTTATATGAGACTTAAAAATAACATAATTGGTAAAAAATAATATATTTACATACAGTGACCTATATGAATTAAGTTACATAAATATATCCAAATTAAAAATGCACTGTCTTTAAATTAATGTTCGTACATTGAGGCTACATGTTCGTACATTCATCCTATTAATACACATTAATGGCTACTGCAAGCCATGGATGTTTGCAGGCAACTACAAAGAAGGCCACAGATACCTCTGAGGACTAAGATGGAATGCCTCGCAGTTTATTATTCTATACCCTTCAAACTAGAACACAGCAGTGCAAGCATTTATATTTGGCGGTAGAAAAAGGTAAAATGGTACCTACGCAGACAGACTCTTAAGACACAAGAAAGAGTCCTATCAACCATAATCTACTATTACACTATTAAAAGTCTATTCAGAGAAGAAATGTTTTTTAGCCTTTAATTTTTATGTAATTATATGGCCTTAATAATTGATTGTGTGTAGCCACTGTGTGCCAACCACGGAGCAAATAGAGAGGAGACGGCCTAAGCAACTGTTGCACTGTGATTCTAACTAGGTCTTGACGTCATCACAGTGAACGTTAGTATTCTGTCAGCATTCATCCTGTGCGCTTATGTGTCGAAAATCGCAAATCGGTGTATTTTCGTAGTATTAAGAAGAAAAGGATGTAGTGTTGTGGTTTATCGCGTAAAAACTACTCAGATAGACGCTCTGATGCTATGGATGGCATCACATTTCATTTGTAAGTAATTTTATACCTAATTTATCAAAATAGTTCAAAAAAATATCTGCGTCGGCTTTCAAATATAATTAAATATATTCGACACTAGATGGCGACACTTTGTGTCATGGGAACTAAAAATATAAAGGTACGTAGAGTTCAGTATTGGTAAAATAATCATACAAAGGTGCTGAAATTTGTTTTGTATTCAGTCCTAAAGAATTTTTAATCGTCAAAATATTATTTTTACAGTTTTTATAATCATTTTGTGAACAGGCCGCCATCTATCGTCAAGGTACCTAAACTACATTGCAACATCGATATGGAACGATTCGAGTAGTTTTACTATTTATCGGTAGATGTCACCCCGCAAATTGTTATGCGTTGTTACATAGTGAAATCTAATTACAACACCTCTTTGTATTTGCTCCGTGGTACCAACACACCTGTCAAGTGTGGCTTTTATATGCTGTAATAAATGGATGGGTGGATAATAAACTATTTAATTGTAGAGTGGCCCTCTACTGGAGTGACGAACTAGTAAGAGGTACAAAAAGTTTATGAATGCAGGTTGCTCAGGACCATACTTTGTGGCATTCCTTGGGCGTGCCCTATATTCAGCTGTGGACTTGTGATGGGCTGTAATGATCAAGACGATGATATAATCTCATGTATAAATAATGCTGCTGATCCATAGACACTTAGAACTCCAGAAATTTCAATCTTGTCCTATCTTGGGGTGACACTGCAGTTTGGTGACACAGGAGACACTGAACATTTCAGACTCGGAGGTGCTGTTAGCTGCCACAGAGGGCAGTCTGTGGGCACCCAGCAGCACCTCACCATCCTCGGAGAACGGCGAGGCTGGCGTAAGCAGCCTACGCTACCCGGGTAACCTGCCTCCTGGAGGGGGTGGACGGTGGGGCGTTGGGGGAGGGACGGGAACTTCAGGAACGCCGCAGCGCGCCTCCTCAGAGCTGGAGCTGCGCTCCCCCTCCGCCGCTGACACTGACACCACCAGCCTTCAGGATGAGCCACTGATGGATCGGGAACCCAGTAAGCAAGCCCATATGTTTTATTATGCATTTAATACTCTATCGTATTGTTCGCGCCAAACGCTAATTTCAGGAACTAACGCGAGAGGGCGCGCGCCTCGGTGCCATACCGGTTTTGACGTCGGCCGAGCGGTGGGTTGAGAATGCGTAAAGGCGAAAGAGTCGTCTGCCAGCTGTGCTTGGGACCGCACGCTGTCATTTTTGTCGGGAACTCGGAATAATTAGGCGCGGCCAGTAAATATAGGGTCTAGGATTTGTGACGCGCATTCTTTGCTGGAGAGCTTCCCAGGGACTCATTGTGTATGACTCAGAATCTGCATAAGTGCACTCGGCAATATTAGCTAGTGCGACCTTTGATATTCTAGAAATAACTGTTTCTACGCGAAACGGTAGTGACCTTTGATGTGGACACTCCGTGTTTTTTTGTGCGTTAACCTTATAACAAACGAGAGTTAGTGGCTTCTGTAAGTTATTTAATCGTACGGTAGAGTTAATGGACTGTCATCGTGACGAACGAAGAGAAGCAGTCTGAAGCGGTGCAGCATTTTGGAGCAGCCGGGAACTCGGCCGCTGCTGGTCGCCTATGTTTGACAAGGCCCCACACATTCACACCCCACTGTACACTACTCGCCACCCACTATTACACACACTCACGGCCTGCCCAAGCCTTGGTGCGAAGTTAGCTTCGGATAATGGTAAGTACTATGTGTTTCTAGTTTCCTCCCATATTGTTTATTGTAATTAGGAAATTCCACGTGGCCATATTCTGGCCCCGTCCCTCTGCTGCTCGTCGATGGGATTACTCATGGGCCCTAATCCCGTCATCCTTGATTGGGGCAGCCAGGGGCGTGTACACGTATAGTGTACTTTACCGTGTAGTGGTGGTGTAAGAATATCCACTATCCCATATCATCCCGTGGATGTCGTAAGAGGCGACAGAGGGAAACAAATCAGAAGATGAGCAACAGTGTCTTGCTAATAACAACTAAATATAAAAAACTGCAGTTGTCAACCTGCTTGTCAGATGTTGCAACTATGTGGCAAATATTGTATTTGAGAATATATATTTGAGATAATCTATGGGGCAGACCTATGTTCAGCAGTGTAGTTTAATAGGCTGTAACCACTATGGTAACGGATTTAATATAGTAGCAGTAATAGTTTCTGTTTCGGTAGAACAGTTGTCGTGTAAACGACAACTGTTGTCGTGGTAACGACAGGTGTTTGACCTACAAGATATTATGTATGTGTATATTTATTAAGTTTAAATCTACAAAAGTGAGAACCACTGAAGTCTGTATCTCAAGGTGTCGTTGTATGTCGTTCCGCAGACACACCGTCACACATAAACTTGGACCAGCTGGTAGAGGCTGACCTGGAGGGGCTGAGCGTGCGGCAGCTGAAGGAGCTGCTGCGGCGCAACCGCGTGGAGTTCCGCGGCTGCGTCGAGCGCGCCGACCTGCTGCAGCGCGCGCGCACGCTCGCGCGCAACCACAAGCAGCTGCGGCAAGGTGCCCCACGCTCGACAACAACAGCAGCACCAGCAATCACTATAATAACAACCACGACTATAATAATCACTACCACAATAGCAACAACTACCTAACAACAATTAAATCACCGCCACCACAACTACCGACTTAACAGCATCATACATCGCAACAACATCAACCATGACAACAACAACCACCACAACAACAAATATTACCGCTACCACCTCCATTCCTAAACAACAACATTTACTACCACAAAACAAACATCATAACATGATAAAATTTAACTATCTAATTAGCTACAACCGTCCCAACAACAATTATATTCACTTCTAGTAATAGTCACTACCACGACAGCCATTATAATAACAGCCACCATAACAGCTACAACAACCGCCACAATAACGATAACTATGACTTCTAGTAATAAGCACAGCAACAGCAACAACCACCACCACAACAACAAAAATCACACCCATCACAACAGTAACATCCAACGCAACAAAAACAACAACCACAACAAAAACCATCACAAAAGCAACAACCGCCACAAGAATAATAATCTACACTTGTAGTAATAACTACAACACTACTACAAATACCATTTCAACAACAACCGCCACCACAACAACAACCATCTCAGTGATAGTCACTAACGCAACAACCACCATAACAGCAACACCCACAACAACAAAAACAATAACCACATATTTCTTTAAAAAAAAAACTTCTACGAGATTCTCTCGGTCCCAAGTTATAAATTGCTCATAAGGCTCTTCTACAAAACAAAGATAGTTTCAATGTCTGTCGCATTATTTATTTCTAAGGCTTGATGTGCAAACTTAACGTTACTACTGTATTCGATTTGCAGACATCGACAACCTACCGATCGAGGAATGCTGCAAGATCTGCATGGCGGCGCCGCTGGAGTGCGTACTGCTGGAGTGTGGACATATCGCAGCCTGCACTGCCTGCTCCAAGCAGCTGGCCGAGTGCCCCATCTGCAGGCAGTACGTCGTGCGCGCCGTGCGCTTCTTCCGCTCCTGAACAACCCCCCACCCCCACCACTGTACGCTCCAAGCAGCCGGCTGAGTGCCCCACGCGTAATACAAAATATGGTTCATATTACAAATTATTGATTGAATAGTAAGGGTGGAGTAAAAAAATGTTTTTGGTATTCACTATGGCATACCCGCAAAAAACTGTGTTAAATTAAAAAGTGTGCGCCGAGTCACATCGCGTCGCGTCACCTCTCAGTGTGTACTGACCCTAAATTTTGAAAAAAGTCCGAAAAATGTCAATGTAAAAATAAATCTCTATACTTTTTCACTCCATTCTATTGAATAGGTATAATAAGCATTCGAGTTGAGATGAACTGATACATACCGTTAACTACATAATGTACTAATATCAACAAACCCAATGGTGAAAGCAGTAATTTGAAAAAAATCCGACTGCGTAAAGCAGTTTACTTAAAAGAGAAAAATTTTATACCCTATGTAACTCACAACTAAGAAGAATCTGATGACATCCCATATGTTAAAAAGCGTCAAGCCGTTTAGGCTACAGAGCGTGCCAAAGAAATAGACATACATACATACATACATACACTCGAAAAACATTACCCTCCTTGTGGGGCAGTCGGGTAAAAAGGTGAACGAGTTAATGAATTCATGTAATTTTAATAAAGCAACACATATTGAAAAAAAAGGGTGCGTGTTTTCGACGCGGGATTCGAGTTTACTTCTTACAGATTAATTATATCGAATAAGTCGCGCTAGGCCATCTAGCCACTATTTTCCTCAACATTGTCACCTTGAGAGTCAAGTCAACCAATGAGGGCTAATAATCTTCCGCTCACCAGATGTCGCTAGTGTATCTGCCCCACAGAGAGGAAGTTTTTTGTTACACAATGTCATTTAATTGAGATGTTAGTTTTAAGTAAAGGTTTATCAGTTACTAGATATTCTATTAATACACAAAACAATTCCTCAGTGGCTTGCTCTTTAATTTTTTGCACATTTTTATTGATTATTTTAAAAATGTTCCACTTTTCGAATATCCGTAGTTTTGTTTAATCATTTCTAATGATCGTTTTAGTCTGTGTAAAATTAAACAGTTTACATTTTATTTTGCAGTCTGTACAAAAAGTAATAATAATTTGATCATTTGTAAACATGACACGACGTTGTGTACATTACCTCACCCTACGTGCCGACACCAATACTAAAATTGTATACATGTACTTAAATCAGTCGCGTTTCTTTTTACCTCTTACAGAATTTATCTCTTTCTCTGTCTCTCTCTCTCTCTCGCTCTCAACTCTATCCCTGCAGTAATATTTGCCTCAGAACTTAAAAAGCAGCAACATCTAGGCACAAGCAGAGTCACAACTAGCTTCTTTATCTCAAATTGTATTTTAAACACTGTTTGGCTGCCTTTCCTTAATCTCAAAACTATCCTTATTATAGGAAATCCTTATTTCCAGCTGTGGGCTGTAGTTGGGCTTATGAGATAGTGAGTGAGAGAGAATCAAATTTAAATGTATTTTAATGATTGCAATATATATCTTATTTTCATATGACAACTGCCACCCATAATCTGATTGAGAATTGAGTGATGATAGTTATCATTTTAGAACTCTGTTTTGAATATCAAAACATGTATGATAAATATATTTCGTAGTAATTATTGACCGCAAGATCACAAAGTATCATACTTATAATGTAAGACATAATATATAGAAGAAAACATCCTAGTGGTCTAAGGGGAAATATTTGTTGATACTTATTACATGCTTGAAGGAGTTATATCCGACTTCATGGCTCGAAAACAAGTTGCAAAATACTTTGACATGTATGTGGATATATTTTGGATGTTCAAACATAAGAGTAACCTGTATGTAAGTTTCAATTATATTGCTGTCTTGTACTATCCACTATCATGAAACAGAGTGCAAATGTGAAAAATTACTAATACCTTAATTACTAATGTGATGCCTTCGGAAGTTTGAATCTTATTGTGTGTATTTTAAAAATATAGTAATTTGCTAGCATAGCTGTCTCCATCATATAGACGCGGTTGTATTCCGAACATAATTACAAAACAAAGTAGAAATATTCATATCACCAACTGTTTATTAAGCTAGATTCACTCAATACTTACATAGTTTTATATGATTCCATGAATTATATTGTATACCATATTATCTCTAGAGGTGAGATGCCAGGCAAAACACCGAATGCACATCGAATCTTAGAAGTACGGAAAGTGACACGTGTAAAACTACTTTCAGTATATATACTAATGTGATTCAAATAAGAATAAGATTGACCTGGCGCCATATTGTGACGTCAATTCAAACCATTTAGGTAGGGTGAGCAAAACAGATACTTTTGAAATAATATTTAATTACAAATAAATAAAAAAGAACCATTAAAAAACGTTTTAATTGTAATCTAATATCTAATCTATTACAGTTTTGCTCATCTATGCATCACTGTCTGAGTAGTCGTCATTTCCATCATTATCATCACTGCTGCTTTCCTTTATAAAAATTAGTCTCCGACCGAAACAGGATTTTCAACCGAAACCGAAACCGAATACTTAGTAAATTTTTTATTTTATACTTTTTGTGTTATGGTTTTTCATTAAATATGTATTATATATATATATATATATATATACATATTTAATGAAAAACAATATTGTAATAGTCATGTAGCAATATATTTCATTCAAAACGTTGCTCGCTCATTGAGAACATATGTTCAATGAGAGCATTAACTTAATATATCACACGCACACACTTACACACAATATATGAAATCGCCATATAGTCGATTATTTGCTTGGCGGTGTGCGTCAAGGCATTGTCGTGGTGAAGGAGGATCCCACTGCGAGGTCTTTTCTCCCGAACTTTTTCCAAGACAAGTGGCAAACAATTGTTAGTGTACCACTCTCCAGTTTTTCGATCGTCTAAAACAACTGTTGCGTAATGACCTGTTCTTCCGAAGAACGAGGCCACCCTCTTTTTTTCCCACGCTTCGACCTCTTTTCATTTTAGCTAGCAACTCCTCGGAAGGAAACACCCAGACAGCAGACTGTCTCTTAGTTTCAGGATCATAACAATAAGTCCAGCTTTCGTCACCCGTAAGTATGTCGAACACAGCGTTTGAGTAACCTCCGTTAAATCTTTGAACCATTTCACGACACCAATCAACACGACGGAGTTTTTGGGCCGCTGTCAAATTATAAGGTATCCACCGGGCACAAAGCTTCCTGACCGCTAAATGTTCATGGAGGATTTTGTGCACTTGACTCATACCGATGCCTAAGCTAGTTTAAATCTGCTGATAAGTCACTATTTCGTCAGTCTCTATCATACGCCGCACATCACTGATGTTATCTTCAGTTGTCGCCGTAGAAGGCCGTCCCTCACGCAGATCATCGGTGAGATTAGTGCGACCACGTTTAAAGTCATTAAACCAGTTGCAAATAGTGGCACGAGATGGGGCTTCATCGTAAAAGGGCCAATCGAGGTCTGTCATAACTTTCTTGTTGACTTAAATAACATCGAATTTTTTTTAAAAATTCTCGCGTTAAATTCACGCTGACGTGACAAAGACAATTTTCAATTTGCCGCCAAATTGTAAACAAATGACAAATTAATAAAATACATACACAATAATATTGGCAAAGAGTTCCATCTTATTTTTTTAATATATACTTTACAAGTGGCCAATTCTAAAAACTTTCAGTGTCGCCCTCGTATGTCGTGTCATATGCATGTTTGGTAGGATAGATCTATTGGGTAGATCCTTGGAACGAAAGAAAAGGGGCCGCGTTGATGCAACTTCGCCTACGTTTATATTATTCCACGCTACGCCTCTGATTGTAAGCTGTTATTTAAAAAAAAAGTCCCGCTGGGTTTCTTGCTGGTTCTTCCAAAGACAGAGGTTTTTTTTCGAACCAGTGGTAATTAAACAAAAGAGTGACTTTCAATAAGTATTATTTACATTCTATATTGAATAAAAAAGTTTCTGTTTCTGTATAATTATGACGTGACGTGACTCGTGTATTCTGTATAATACACGAGTACCGAACTCATCCGTACGACGCACGATAATCCACGAACATTGAGTTTAGGCGTCACCGAAGGTTCGGCAGATTTTTTGCCGAAACCGAACCTATTACCGAAACTAGATTTTTTTGCCGAAACCTAAACAGAACCTTCGGTCGGTCACTAATAAAAATAGAATATGGATTTATGTAGATATTTCAAATATTTCAACGACTAGTATCAATGTTTTAAATTAATTTATGCAAATAATTATGAGTTCAATAGATTTAAATAAAGCGGGGAAAAACATTATTAATACGCAAATAAATTTTCTTTGCAAGCTGTACTTTTCAAGTGACAGTTGACAGATCGCTATGATTCCAGGTCATTGACGTTCCTATTATTATTTGAATCTCATTCTACATCTCACCTCAAATTATTTCATCACAAAACATATGTCAATTTATTTCATATTCTACTCGTAGTGGATATATTTATCCCAAGCTAGAAAAAGAAAGAAAGAAAGAAACACGGATCACGGAATGTACGCACATTTCAAGTGATACACAAACCAAGACAAAACCATGCTCAACTTATTGTAAAAGCACGCATTCACGTACACAATATTAAAATAATTTGCAACGGATTTAACGTAAGGCAAAGTAGACAACTGCCTATGGGTCCTGCTGTCTTAAATACAATTTTTATGTTTATTAGGAAATTCATTAAATCAGAGAGAGACCTTACTGCCTACGGACTAGTCGTTCGCAAATTTAAATACTCATCACTGTAATGAATAGAACGATACGTATGTTTTTGATCAAAAGGACCATAATATCTCAAATTAACAGTGGGATACTTTTTAACACGGAGGAACAAGAAAAAAATCATTTCTGTTCCCGTCTGAACAGAGCAGCAGACAGAGGATATGAAATAAAATTCATTCATGTCATTTTGTAACTAAACACATTTTGTTTTGCGCATT